TATCGTGTCATCAGCAACCTTTGTATGCAACCAAGGCAGTAGACATAGATGCATTCAGTTAGGTTTTCCTGAACTTGTCACTTTTTGTCTTTTCTGTTCTATTGCTTTCTTGACAATTTTGTTCATCTTGCTTTCTTGTCACCCATATAGACTTTTGGGGAAGGGACTTAATCATGTAGAAGTAGCAGAACATCCTATCCTCCTCTCATGGTTGGGCAATATCCAACCCACCAGATGTTGCTGAAATGCAACTTCCACATTTCTCGTGTCTGACAATGGAGGCTAGTGCTGCTGGGTTTTCCAATCCAATAACATGTGAAGAGCTATATTAATCCTATCCTTTATCTAAATGGAATGTAATTCCTCTGATAAATATTTCCTTTTTTTAAAAGAGGTATAATGCAAGTCAACATCCCATTTTATTTTCACAAAGTGGAATAGCAGCTAATTATTCATTACGACAAGAAACCTTGAAAAACTGCTGGTGCCACATAACTGAGTTGTCTCAGCCTTACAAATTTTCACTTCTGAGTGCATAGTATCACTCCACGTTCATACTGTACCCTGTTTTTTAAAAAATAATAAAAAATATTTCATTACATAAGACAAGTTCCAGGTCTGCAGTACAATCAGAAGTTATTGACCAGCTTTGTCCACCAATAACCTCTGATGACTTCGTTGTGAAAAAAAAGGTGACAGATACTTCCTATGGATATCACAGGACATCATGATATGCCCGTCTGTTTCTGTGCCAGTTTCCACCTCCATGCAATAAAGTTCTAGGATAATGTTTGTCAGACATATTTCACATAAAGGTTAGGCATCAAAATAAAATCAGGCCTGTGGTGCAATACCAGGGGCAACACAAAATATTTTGTTGCCAAAGGACAAATAACTCATAATGCCTCCATCCACACAATTCAAGATTCACAGTACTCATGTATAGTCGAATGTTTTAAACTATAAAGGTGGCATAGGTGACAAAAAGAAATCATACAACTACCTCTCTCTATCTCTGGTAATAAAAACAAAACAATAATAGAGAATATTGAGACTAACTTTATAGCATTCCAAAAGAGAATTATCTGAACACCTCCATGGTCTTTGCGGTTAGTCTGGAGCAG